TTCCATTGAAGAATGTGTCCAGCACCAGAAGCTGCGTTGGTTGGGACATGTGTTGCATATGCCGAACCATTTTTTGCCGAAGAGAGTGCTGTTTACCATGCCCAATTCGGAGTGGCGTAAATAGAGAGGTGGCCAACCCTTGACTTGGCAGAGGAGTTTGAAGGAGATCACGAAACGCTTGGGTGCGGTCGGTGCTACTAGCCTTCCAGGATGGGGACCGCGTGATATTCCCTGTGCCTGGTTGGAGACTTCCAACCGATGTCAGTGGCGTTCTTGTTGTCAGTTTCTATCTAGGTTGCCTGAGTGAATGTCTGGATGTGTAGGCACCTCGGAATGATTGTGTTAAGCTAGCACTAAGTCCCTTCCCCGTCCACCTTCATTCTTTTCTTTATAATAAGGCTTTCAAATAAGTCATGGTTGTACGGCAGTGAAGCATCGGTGTTAAGCACTGTTGTCATGCTGTCGATGATGATGATGATGACATCATATTCCACTTTTCATCAGTAGCCCTGGTGAGAAGGGGCTTAGATATTAACTCACATGTATCTAGGCACATTTTTGCACACCCTTGTTACGCTGCAACACGCGGTCAACTCACCTGCCGAATTGTGAATTAGTGCCTCTGGAATTGATCGAATACCGCCTCGAAACACATGAGCTCATTTTTCTTGGACAAGCCCATTAACTTTGGCTTATGGTGGGTTTTCATATCCATGATGATATCGCGGAAAGTTTCCTTGACGATGTGACCAAGCTGAAAGAAGCGTGAAGGTTTTCTGCAGGAGATTATAGGTAGACTATAAAAGATTTCTCGCGCATCTGGAAAAACCACGTTGGGATTTCGTGTGGCCTCGTGGAACGGCCGTCTTCTTGGTCCCATGTATCCGCAGTACCTATTCGCGACTATGCAAATAGAGATTCACCTAAAATTATACTTTATTGTACTTTCAGCTCATTAGTTGTGATCAAGCGGATGTGAGAAATAAACAACCAACCTGAAATTCGCGGTGCAGTTTTCGCCAAGCGGTCTCGTGTTCTTCCTCGGTTGTGGCTCCCATCAAGCTCCGAAACGCCGAGAGCAAACGCGCCCGTGAAGAGGGCTTTCTATTTGCAGCCTTTGGCTGGGACCAAGAGAACATTCGGGCAGCATTTACCGATAACAGGGGCTGTGTCAATGAACAGTGGCAGATCACTCGGTTGCCAACGTAACGCAAACTACCGCTGTAATTAATGCTTCTGCACATCGTTTTGGGGTAAGTTGAACATCAAACTTTTAATGTATTTCGCTAAATATCTGAAACAAAGCCATAAGCCTCAGACGCAGCTTCATGCTATGAACACATCCAAACAAGATCCTTGATGAAACAATGTCCCCATTGAAGAGATAGTTATCAAATTTTGTTTAGCAGTGTGCACTAATCGGGGTCTATGGTTAGCACCATGTTCTACCTAAGGCATAACATTTAATCTACGAATATTTCAAATCGATGCCACGCATTTCTGATGGATTAGTATTTGTAATCTGCTTGATTATCACTGCTAACAATGGATGGATTAACCAGAAGTTCCACGAGTTTGATTAATGTTTCGCTTGTTACGATTGTGTTTTTGTAGATTGGCCACTATCAAACTATCTATCTATCCATCCATATACCTAACTGTCTACCTAACTGTCTATCCAACTAACTAACAATCTATCTATCTATCTTTCTATCTATCTATCTATCTATCTATCTATCTATCTATCTATCTATCTATCTATCTATCTATCTATCTATCTATCTATCTATCTATCTATCTATCTATCTATCTATCTATCTATCTATCTATCTATCTATCTATCTATCTATCTATCTATCTATCTATCTATCTATCTATCTATCTATCTATCTATCTATCTATCTATCTATCTATCTATCTATCTATCTATCTATCTATCTATCTATCTATCTATCTATCTATCTATCTATCTATCTATCTATCTATCTATCTATCTATCTATCTATCTATCTATCTATCTATCTATCTATCTATCTATCTATCTATCTATCTATCTATCTATCTATCTATCTATCTATCTATCTATCTATCTATCTATCTATCTATCTATCTATCTATCTATCTATCTATCTATCTATCTATCTATCTATCTATCTATCTATCTATCTATCTATCTATCTATCTATCTATCTATCTATCTATCTATCTATCTATCTATCTATCTATCTATCTATCTATCTATCTATCTATCTATCTATCTATCTATCTATCTATCTATCTATCTATCTATCTATCTATCTATCTATCTATCTATCTATCTATCTATCTATCTATCTATCTATCTATCTATCTATCTATCTATCTATCTATCTATCTATCTATCTATCTATCTATCTATCTATCTATCTATCTATCTATCTATCTATCTATCTATCTATCTATCTATCTATCTATCTATCTATCTATCTATCTATCTATCTATCTATCTATCTATCTATCTATCTATCTATCTATCTATCTATCTATCTATCTATCTATCTATCTATCTATCTATCTATCTATCTATCTATCTATCTATCTATCTATCTATCTATCTATCTATCTATCTATCTATCTATCTATCTATCTATCTATCTATCTATCTATCTATCTATCTATCTATCTATCTATCTATCTATCTATCTATCTATCTATCTATCTATCTATCTATCTATCTATCTATCTATCTATCTATCTATCTATCTATCTATCTATCTATCTATCTATCTATCTATCTATCTATCTATCTATCTATCTATCTATCTATCTATCTATCTATCTATCTATCTATCTATCTATCTATCTATCTATCTATCTATCTATCTATCTATCTATCTATCTATCTATCTATCTATCTATCTATCTATCTATCTATCTATCTATCTATCTATCTATCTATCTATCTATCTATCTATCTATCTATCTATCTATCTATCTATCTATCTATCTATCTATCTATCTATCTATCTATCTATCTATCTATCTATCTATCTATCTATCTATCTATCTATCTATCTATCTATCTATCTATCTATCTATCTATCTATCTATCTATCTATCTATCTATCTATCTATCTATCTATCTATCTATCTATCTATCTATCTATCTATCTATCTATCTATCTATCTATCTATCTATCTATCTATCTATCTATCTATCTATCTATCTATCTATCTATCTATCTATCTATCTATCTATCTATCTATCTATCTATCTATCTATCTATCTATCTATCTATCTATCTATCTATCTATCTATCTATCTATCTATCTATCTATCTATCTATCTATCTATCTACATGTATATGTTCGTATGTGTATTTATATGCTGGCTGTCACGGCCTGTTAAATTGTCTTTTAGTGCTGTGATGTACTAAACCTTTAAAGATCTTGACGTGATTCGTGCGCGAAAATTGCGCTCAATAAAGTACTGCCACCCTGTTCACTACTCGGTTGTTTGCGTTTTGTTTGTTATAGGATATGATTTCAACCTGAGCTGCGTCAACGTTAACTGTTCACTGCTTCGGGAACACGCAAAAGAGGACTTGCGCCTGACCTGTTATCGTTGATTCATGTACGTGGCAATTTTGTGTAGGAGCTTGTCATACTTGTGTAACACGGTTATCCTGTTGTCAGGAATTGGCCAACTTGAGTAAGCAGATCAAAGTTTAAGTTTTTAACTTGCGTTTTGCGTTTACGTAGACATATAAGGCGTTGGAAGGCAACTATATCATACATGTATCTCCTCCTGCTTCTCTCCTCTCCATTAGGGGCATCGGTTTCCCTAAAATTCTTACAAATATTGTGGCCAAAAACAACATTTCGACTCATTTCAAGGCGTCCTAAGAACACATCTTGAGAAGAGCAAATCGAACAGGCTACGACATTCTTGCCAACTCAGGCGAGACGCGTGAACCCACGTGAAACCACGCTCCAGTCCCCAGTTATTTCATATTAATCTACGAACCCGAGGTTCTATAATGGGCAAATAGTCAAGTTAAATACCACTTGTCACAAGCCATAGACATTTGAAACGAACAACATTGAGAGGCTTCTCGGATGAACCATGTTGGTCGCAGCAACCCTTATTTCCAATTTCCAAATGTTTTAATGGATATTACTGAGCCAGTCCGAAAAATAAACTGTCTGTATGGATATCGACTCGGATTGTGGTTTGCGTTTTCTCACTCAAGTGTTTCACACAATCGATATTAAAAAACCCAACCTATTAAAGTGTCATTGGAATATGGATTGGTTTCTTAAGTATATATGGCTTAAGCAATGACTGTTGCAATGAACAATTCAAAATATCGAATACTGTCCTGAACACGTACTGCTATGCCCGCATCCTTCTGGTTCGTCGGTAGGTCATAATGACCCTGGAATTTTCCAACTGGGAGAATTCCCATCGTCTGAAATAAACAATAAACAGACACCCGTCAGTGCTTTAGCAACTAAGACAGCGCCTTTCTACGTGAAAAGTGGCACGCCCTGCAACCGTGGGTCTTCAATTCGGTAGTCACATGTTCGTTTAGGAGGATCTGATTGATCAATATACATTACTTCCTAAGCTGTTTCTCAAATATCACTGCTACGCACTGATGTTCACCGAATCGCAAGTACTATCCCCTGAGTTTGCTCGTTGCCGTTCATGTCGAAATTTAAAATTACGTTGACTAAGTTTATGCAGATCGGACCGAATCGCAGTATCCGATGTGCCTACGTACTTTTAGAATGTAAACTTGGTATTGCTCCCTAGTTCGCGAAGCTGTGAACTATCTTCATTTTGTTGTTCGTCATAGCTTAACTAAATGTTCAAACCATGGTTTTTGGCATTTTGCTTCAAATGTTCAACGAACTCCAATGATTATTTTTGACCAAATCATGTGTTGTTACCTCACAAGCTATTGTTTACAAGGTACTAAGACGTGTTTTACCACTAATACGTACACAAAAATGAGTTTTCAGCTGCCATGGCGATTGAACATGTGTATGAATCTTCTAATTCTGCGAGATACTTCACTGAAGATGTCTCCACACAGTATAGTTTAAACTTGAATCGCACCCCAATCAGTTTGTGACGTATCTATATCGATCGTTTCTACCCGTGTTGTTGTGAACTTAGAATTTTTTCCTCCAAGCAGAACTTTCTCATTTGAATGGATATTTCATCCTGTCAGTGAAGCCAATCATGCTGAAAAGCCGGAAAGCATTGTACAGCTGTTTCATCTTTATTGGTAGTCAGCAGGTGTGCGCATCCCTCTCCAGTAGAGAATAACGAACTGGTGACCTCGTTGATGGCTGAATACTTAGCCGTTCGGCCACAAGGGACTGATCAGCAGTGTGATCAGCTTTAGCTTAGACAGCAGACGGCGTCACACATCGTTCGGTCGCGAAATACCACATCACGCGGCCAAGTGTTAATTGGGTTCTCGAGAGTCAACTTCTTAGACGGATGTTTCAGTGATCATGTAAGTATATTCTTCCCCCAGTTACTAGTGAATGAATCATATAGATTTAAGCTCGTTTCTTCTAAACAAAGGCTTTTGCTTGGTTATGCCAAAGATGACACTGGCTAGACTTGGGTATCTAGATGCTAGGGCTAGTAACCTTGCAGAACTTCGTGTGTGGAACCTGAATTCCTTAAACAATTATTTTCAGTCTCAAACATCACCTTTCAAAGATAACGAAATTCAACTGTCACCTCGATGAATCCACTCATTTTCATAACAGTTTGATTTTTCACAAGTGACCCAAATGAATCTCTCCATGATATTTTGTGACTCACCATGTCACCATACTGCATCACATGACTATACTCTGTCCTCCTATCCACCTCCTTGTACTGCTGTTCCAGTGTACGTTTTTTCAAATCATTCTGCGCGTGGGTGGGAGATAATGACAGGGGAATGTATGAAGCAGACGGATCAGCTTACGCAATTTTAAGATGGATCATTTGTGAGCAAAACCAGTGGAGCCATCACTAGAGGCAAGAAGATAGAAGTATCGAACGACACATAGTATTAAAATAACTGAGCCCTCCGATTTTTCAGGACACTATATGCATTCAACACATGGTAAGAATTTGACGCTCTAGGACAGTCATCATCATCATCACGATAAACATCCTCATGATAATCATCATCATCACCGTCATCATCGCCAACATCCGTGTTCAACACTAACGCTTCCTCGAGCGCATTCAAAATTTATTTGAAACCCTATTCAAAAGAGAAGAATCAAAATGGATGCGGAAAGGACTTGAACGTGGTCTACCACAATCATTTCGATGAGCCTGCGGCTCCAGCGATTCACTCCAGTGATCTGAATCGAAAATGTCAACAAGAACTCCGCCAACATCGACTCAAAGGCTTACTTTGCAGCGACAGTCAAAGTGAGAATCAGGCGGTCCCCATCTTAGAGTAGAAGTTACACAGATAGCACCCAGATTTCCAACTGACTCTTCCATATCCCTCTACAAGGTCAGAGGTCAACGTGATTGGGAGGTCGGTGAGAAAGTTTGAACATTATTATTTTGGGCGGTTGTGATTGCTGAATCCACATAAATCTCGTCCTCGGTTCAAAACAAATTTAGTGGTGCCGTCGTCGGTTATGATGGTGGCAGTGCTGAGAAGTCATTTGCGGAATGAAATTTCTGTAGAAGATTTACCACCAGCCTCACAAAAAGTGCCGTACGATTGAAGAAAATTATTGCCGAGTACGGTGCTGGCCAACGGAGAAACTTCGCCCAGGTCGATGCAAGAAAATTTAACCAGAGGTGACACATCCGAACGTTTTCTCCCTCATTTGTATTCGGTGGTTCAATTTTTGTGATGAGAAGACAGGTGCACATTGGTGGAACCGTTACCTGAACGATGGCTGAATAGGCGCAGGCATCGATGTGCAAGACCGGGGGGATTTTGAGCTGCATACATCTGCACTGAACGTGACCATGCGGTTCAGGAAGCCAAAAAACACAAGGTCACAGATGTCAGTAGTAATTGCTACCCCCCAAAGACACCTGCAAGCACTGTCACCCAAAGATTTACCACCACGAAGGGAGTATGGCTATTTCATTAAAAATAAGCGAACAAGTGGTTTAGAGAATCAAATGTACTGATACTGGCTGCTGGCTTATCAGCAACAGTTTTGATAAATCTCACGTATTCTGAATCCGTAATCCAGGCATATGAGTATTGATTCGCCAGACAAACTTTGATCCGCTTGTCGTGACAGAAAGCAGACAAGGATTCTTCCTTTTCATTGGCTGAAGTTGTCACGTAGACTGCAATTTTAGGAGGTTGGGATAAAAGCAATTATATATCAATATAAAAAGGTGCGAAATAATGAGTTAAATTATCAACGAACTGACACAATGACTCAGAGAAATTGTGAACCCGCAAGACGTTTAGAACACGCACTACACAGATGGCCGCTGAAAATTCTTTGACAGGTTGGTGCCGGCCTCAACTTTCCTGCAACCTTAATCAATTATGATACCAAGATTTGACGGAACCTGCCAAATACACTTACAACGAGATATTTAGCTGGATTCTTTGGGGTCAGCCCGTCTAAATCAAATTACTATGTAAATATATAATCTGGTTTTTTGATATACCCTCCTCAGAAGAGACAATTGACGAGATCGGCCAACGGTGATGAGGTCACTGGCATCAGACCTAATGTTTCACGGGTTGACGTGTACTTTTTATAGAAGACTCGTGACTCACCTGTGATTTACAAAGACAGTATCCACCTAGCTATAATGGTTGCCGCACGGGGACACAGAAATATCTCAGGTTTTCTTGAAACCATACTGGACGGCAATAATTTCATAGGCGAGACAGAGAGATAGATTCTGGTCAACCCGTCAAATCAAAGCAGCCTGTGTATGAATAATCTATTTTCTCATGGTGAAGCCTCCCACATGAGAAACAACTGACGAGAGTTTTCAAAGGTCGTCACGTCCCTGGAATTGGGCATGTTGTTTCATTGGTTCAAGTGTACTTTTTACAAAAAGAGACACGATCCCTCTGTAATTTAGAAAGACGGCATTCACCTGACAATGGTGGTTGCTGCACAGGGATGCCAAAATATCACAGGTGATGCACCGATTTTGCAATGGTTATCTCCACCAACATGAAACTATTTCAGCGGCAAAATCGGCTAGTTTTGCAGGAATAGCCATATTAAACGGCACAGACTGGATGTTGTACGACCCCCAGCAAAACGCTTCTTGCGTCGAGCCATACAAAGATCGCTCTGTTTTACTGGCCAATGTAGCATTTTAACCATATTTGAAGGACATTATAGATGCAATTTTACAGAATTTTCATGAGAGTAAGCAAAAACTATTTACGCCACTTACTTCCTAAATTTGAAGGAAGAACATCCAGAAACATAGAGCCTGAGTAGCAAGCCTCCACATACAGCACCAATTTGTTGTACATTTTGTTCGAATGCATGAAGGCGAGGGTATCATTCAACTCCGTGGCCCTTATCTACCGCCAGAAAAAAGAAATTCTCGTGACCTCGAGGTAGCTCAGCGATTACAGCGTGAAATTACGGACGGAAGAATCAGGTGTCCCAACCCGGAATCAGCATTTCGACTGCCGCAGCTGAGCTTTAACAACTTAGCTGTGTCTCATCCCTCAAGCTTCATTTGAATAGAATAGCAGCTTGGCACCGAAAGCGTTTTCCAGGTGAACGCGCATTTATTTTTGGTGGACGTACTGTCCACTAAGACCGGTTGAATGACTAAGCTTGACGGTTTTGCTTAGTCCTTCTGAAGTTAAAGCTGAGTGCCCTGTTAATTGTCTTTTGTTTCACTGGATCATTGGTTCCACCATGTCCTCTGTAGTCTTAGGCAGCTACACTACTGACAATAAAGAAGACCTCCCTTGAAAAGGGGCGCAAGGAGCATTTTTGGAGTGAATAAGCTAGCAGCCGCAAAATTGGAATAATGAATGTGCAGTTTGAACGACTGATTTCCCTTTTCAACCATATGTCCGATTTACACATACCATCCTCCGAGATCGATTAAATAGGTTCGATTACATAATGATGACTACAACAACTGATAAGAGGAAATGCAGCTGAAGTCTTGTACTGCTTGTGCCAGACGTAAATGCCGTCTCCTAGGTTGAGCCAATCTAGAGAGTAAAGTTTAGCCCTAATAACGTTTCACGAAAACCTAGGAAGATTTTCATTGAATCGAAGAAAATTCTGAATGTCATGATATTACCAGCAGACTGTAAGTAGTGCAGGAGAAACAGCAATCCACGCGATGAATGGATTTTTCTTCTGAGACGTTTCCACTCGGAGAGTCACTCACCAGTGATGTGGATCCCTCGATTGAAGAATGAGCGACGTTATATCCTGAATAAGTGTGGATAAATCAGGCTTCTTGGTGGCAGCCCGTAGCCGAACGATTGTACGTTGCAACTACCGAGCGCACTACGAATGATTCCCAATAGAAATGGAACAGTTGTACGCTGCTCCTCGGGTTTCCTTCACAGACTGGCTTCTCATACAGAAATACGAAAACTTCCTCATACTACCAAAATATTCTCGCTGTCTCTCCAGAATTAAAAGGAGCATTATGTCATGTCAAGTATATATCGGCTGACGCGTTCTTAGTATCATCAACACCTCATGAGTGACCGTATACGACCAGCTTCCTTGTATATGGTATCTACTTTTGCTCAGCAGCCTAAGTTGATCAACAGGGACATCATGTGAGTTAAGCGACTTTGAACTTAGAAGAACATCATGGTGACGTTATCATTTAAACTTCTTAGATTAGACCTACAAGATTTGAGCTGTTACGGATGTCATTAGTGGGACAAACGTCAGAACACCGTAGCTTGCGTATCGTTTTTCGTTTGATGTGTAGGACAGTTCTAACTATAAAACCCCTTCCTTGAAGTACAACCGTAGATATACTAACCTAAGTCCCGTTCATGGGTTCACAATTTAGCTTCCGTTTGGAAAGGCTGTGTGCCATAACCGTGGTTATCAAAATTTACATAGCTTACTCGTGCATCTGGGAAGGTAATAGAGGAAACCGCACCATGGCCAGAGAAAAAGATGAAAACGTTGTCATCAGGACCGCTGTAAATGGGCAGAAATGTTAAGATGGTCTTGAATTTTGGGTGAGTTACCGAGTGGAGATCCCACACAGGAAAGCAAAAACGGATATTTCAAGGTGATATTCCCCAATCATTTTTTCACAGGTTGCAGAAGCCGAGTTGTTATGCAACCGGTGTTGGCTAACTAGTGATGAAGAAAATCAGCAGGATACAAGAAGTTTTACAGTGCTTTTCTGTCCATGGCACGTGATTTAGCTTTATGGATCCCAGTTTGAATCATTTATCTGCACAATTCCTATGCGGCTTACCCGTTGGGCAAATAACACGCAGGTCAGAGGATTATTTACCCACGCCAGTTTCCACTTCAGTTAGCTTGACCATCTTGCCACACTCAGCTCTGACACTCAGCTCTATTGAAATCACGCTCTTGGCAGTATACTTGAATCTGTTTGTGGAAATATCCTTAAATTTTATACACTACAGATGAACACCATCATCAAGTTGAGGCGAACCTGTGTACCGAAAGCGGACATCCACGAAGCCATATGTTTTTATCTGAAACTGATCTAGAAATGTTCCGTTTGTTGGCCGTTGATCGAGAGGGTGCTAGCTTGCACATAATTGGCCACCAAACGAAGTGATATAGTGAGTGAGCGTTTGGGTTGCCTGCTCCTCCGAACCGGTTTGATTTTATTCGGCTGTAACTGGCTGACAAGTGCACAACGTTCTCGGGGTCTCATTCGTCCATTTCCAGCTGTGCTGCGTTCTGGTCTATATTGCGCGAATTCAGTTGGTGCTTTGAGCAGTTCGTTTTTGGGGATCTTCTGTTAATTTTCTGGTTGATCAGCTGCCGATTTCTCCTGTATCCTGAACTGCCGCACCTACGTCCGATTGGCCGTCACCCAGATTTCCGGGTTTATCAGTTAATCTTGATAGCTTGGCTCTGACGTCCTGCTGTGCTCTGGCCAGATTTTTCGGAGTTTCTTTGAGCGAATGAACATTCCGTTGATAAAACTGTTTTCATGGTTCAGAGGGGTTTATCGCTTTTGTTTATCTATTTTAATGAATATCCCTCTTTCTTTCTCTATCTGAACAAAGTACATGCGGGATCTGAAACACTCAATGTGGTCAGCTTAGGATTAGGAAGTCTCCTATCCACTCTGATTTTTATTTACATACTTGATCTGTTAAGAAACGCGGCGTATGCGGCAGAATAAACCAGATAGCTCAACAATGGAAGGGAACAAATAACGTTGATCTCACCCAAGATAATCCATTTTACAACGTTAACCAAGTTTTAAAACACAAACGATTAGACTCACAATATGGCAACAAAAATATCTCTTTTGAATAGGCCTAAGGAAATATCCTGCCTGAAATTGTAATATCCCAGGAACCTAGCGTGCTACAACAGGATAAAATGCCCGTAACGGGCAGCGGAAACTCCATATTCTAGGCGGCAGCCAATAATGTGCCACTGATCTATTTCCACTTAGCGGGTGTGTTCACAAATGAGTATTTGTATGACTGGGTGCTCCAGGATGGTGAATGAGAGGAATTTCTTACTTCAAGCTATTTTGAAGACTGCCAAAGTTTCGGAATAAAGCCTATATGAACAGCTAAAGGAACACTGCTTTGGAATGGCGACCGAACAGAACACGAAGCACCAATTTCCTGGAAGCAAATCTGAATGAGAGTAGACGACCAACTAAGACGAAGTTTTTCGGGAAGGCCCAACAATCAGTCTTCACAAAAACTGTTGAATCAATGGCGTTTTTATTCAACTGTGAACGAAAAAGGTCGGTTTGGGAGAGCTGGGAATATGTACAGAAACATCCATCCCAGATCCCTCTACGAGCCATCGGTTAATCAGAAAACACGCACAATGAGCGGGTGATCACGGATTACCCCGCAGTTTCAAATCCACCACTGTATAACTGACCGGATGACAGATTTATGGTTCGCAAATAAGTAAGCGTTTGCCTCGTTTCCTGGCTTGTCTCTGTATGCAGACGCTTCGTCTTTCGACAGGTCGCAAAAATGTGGAAGGAATTTCGGAAGAACAACTGTGACGTTACCAACCCACATAGAACCTAGGGCCAGGCAGGTATTCTAAAAGCTGAAGGTATTGTCGGTGAATGGCGATACAGATTTGAGTGATTGCCACATAACTAATCGAGTGGGCTGCAAGTGAGATTTGGGTTATCCAAAAACAGTGTTCATTTGTTTTAGTCAACACTGAGTTTAATCCGACGCTGAATCCGAGCAAGCCAAAATTGGCTGACCACGATTTATATAATACCAAGCAGATAGTTGGCCGTCCACAACTGCACATATCTGAGTATTTTTGAATCTTGTTAACAGTGTCGATTGATGCCTATGATATAATAATAACCCATAGTCTGAAATTGATAAACCGGTTTTCCCTTGGGCAAATACTTTGTTGATTGATTTCTGGAAGCTTCACATTAAGAGATTATGTAGCACAGTACTTAGGTAAACACTAATCAAGTATTTTGTAAATCCAAAACTTTGACCTGTGACACTTGGGTTCTAGCTATGATGAGCGTGTGCTTCATCAATGTCAACTTTCGCGCGAACTCACCTTTTCAGCACCTTCTTCTTGTTGGCTTCAAGTTTCTTATCCCCCTTCAATACATTAATGAAGTTTTTCGATGTGACGTCCTGAGACAGATTAACAGGCATGATAAATTGTGTGAAATGGTGAAAAATGGTGTATTACACACTTATTCTATCCTCAGTAACTATTCAAGTGCAGTCGCCGAATGCTGAATGTAGCATTTGATTGTTGTTCTCTTTGCCGGGCATGGTAGTTGGATTCGCTCCTCAAGCCTAGTAATAACAGTTGAGTCCAATGTGAATCACTGGTAAGCACGATTAGGTGGTCAAAGAAAGAAGCACACGTGAGAACTATCTTCTAACTTGTAGTGAGTATCACTCACCAGCACTCAATTGCGCCACAGCTGAACGTCTAATTTACGCTATTCAGTACCTGAGTGTGCTGTCCTGGACACCCTGCTTTGTTTGTTTGTTTATGCACTCGAGATATCACAGGATATTTTCTCGGAGGAAACTAACTATTCATCAGGTGGAATTCAGTAGAATCTCTCGTTATTGGAAACTTGTTGTGCGAATTAGAGTTGCGTGAGAATTCGATGTTAACGGTGGACATGAGGCTGATGGCAACTCGGGAACTGGCGGAATTCTCAACCGATAACACATTGGCTTTCCCAGTTAGGCACTTTTACGTGCTGGGAAGATGGGGCGGCTTACCGGTCCAGCATCAAGACGAGCTCTGACTGGAACCAGTAGCCAATCCTGATGGTGTCCATCGAATGCTTTTTGCCAATGGCGCATCCAGGATGCGCTACAGTTTAAAATGCTCACCGCACACAATTCATAAGCGGCGCACCATATCTGGTTTCTACCACACGCTGAATATCTCCGGTGGTCCTTTTGACAAGATCGCTTGCTTGGAACGTTCAGATAGAGAAGTAATCTGTTTAAGTTCCGTTAATACAGTGAGCCTACCTGCAGCAGGTTTAACTCAGTCGTTGACCGCTCAAACGTTCCCTATGATATTACAACTAGTGTTCAAGTAAATGTAGCATTCTGTAGTATAGTAAAACAGATTAGTTTGCCTACGGTTTGTATTGTGTTTTGATATGCAGTGTCATGTTACTTTCACTTTGCGTTACACAGTGAGCTGATACAAAAATTTGTTTGGTTGCTGTGCATTGGAACACGGACGCACTCTTCCACGGTAGTCAATAATCACACCCTTGTAGACATCTTCGAGCTCGTAGTCATGGAAGACTTTGCCTTTAAACGGATTACTGGAATAAGAGAATGAAAATTGGCAGTAGGATTTGGAGAAATTACCAGGTAGGTCAAATAGAAAGAAATGAAAACCTCGTAAATTCTGTTGGAACTTGGCACCCTGGTTTGTTTTTGAATGATTATTCATGACCATGAGAACAGTTTGTGTCACAACTTTGATTAATTATCATCTAACTATCCTTTACTCAGTAATGATGCAGAGATTCTACAATAATTTCGATTCAGTACACAACCAAGAGCATTACAATTCCTGGGTGATAAGGTAATCATTTCAGGTAAACACAATCAATAATAGGTCTTATAAGCATTTTCACATCCAACGCCTTTGCATGTTATTCGATTTCGCAGGGGTCGAGACGTCTCAAGTGCTTTGAGCGCGAGTTAAAGTCCATGTTGTGAACCCTACCTCTACCTTTTGACTTCTTCCGTCTAGGCTTGGACAACCTCTCAGTACCCCAGCACTCGTGCAATCATCGTGTGGCATGGCTGCTACGTACCAAAACGATGCAACAGCCGAAAGAACGGTTCGGTTATGAACGATTTTTACAACCCCCGAATCGGCTGCATTAGAGAACGACAGGACTACTGGGTTGTCTACGTAATTCTTGCTCCAAAGCATCAGCGGACTGATGCACTCGTACGACTTCAGGGTATCCGTCTTAATGATTTCAGACTTCTGATAAGTTGATATGTATCAGCGAGGATATGCCACAATGGCTGCAACTTGATTTGATGCTGATTGATTTGACTGCATTTTGGTTCTATCGCGTTTACAATCATGAAAAGGCATGGAAGTAAAGAAAATCTGAGGTGACATCTCACGTGAGGTACGGAAACTTCCAATTTTCTGCAACTCAAGTTCTTTTACACAAAGGGGCAGGTTAAACCTAAACGACCAAACACGTTTCTCTACATTCTGGTTGCTATCAGGTGAAAAAAATTGTGCGTGGTATTTACCTTCGATCTTTTGCAATATCGTCGTAGGCAAAGGTAATTATATTCTCTGCTGGAACGTTGTTTTTACGCATGACATGATACGCGTGGTAAACGTCCGCCTGAATGAGAATACAAATAAATGAATAGAGGATGAATTGAGATAGAGTGAGGCATGGAGGCTAAAGAAGGCATGTGGACTGTATGGGATCATCCATACTGGATGGAGTATCATTTCTCCCAAGAGTAGTTGAATGCATTATCCCTGTCCAAAACTTTGCTTGTAACATGCGCGTGTTCCTGTTGATTAATTGCATGAATCTGGACACATCAGCTTTCTAATCAGATATTTGACTGCTGCGGCGAGGATATTATTCGCCGACAGCCTCATGCTGACCGATTTATGACGGTGTTTGGGCTTTGCAAAGGAGATTTTATTCTTTAGCTGAGGGCGTTCTCTGTCAAAACGTCCTGGTTCACTGGTGAGGAATATCTGTGGTGCGCGTTTCATGCTCCTCCGGTGAAACGCGAACAAGCTATTTCCTGATGATTATTTGAACGCTGAAATGTCCAACCACGAGTATCCGGTCATTGGAATGTTGGGCTAGCGCTCCACCCCACTGGAAATCGCCGTTTGACGGATATGTTCTAAAGAAATTGGGAAACCTCAATTCGTCTTAAATGTGCCAAATCGAGATTTATTATCAGTACGGTTTCGCTGCATCGGATGTATCAGTTCTTTTGAAATAAGGGATTTTACAAATCGGTATGTGTATGGCAGATTGAATTAGGGAAGAATGAGGAGGTTTCCTTATTTATTCTCAGTCGATTGCACACAGCGGTCCGGATGTATGTTTCCTTCCTGAGATTTTGTGCCTCTTTAGGAACCAAAAATTACCCGATTCAGGTCCTGAAAAGCGTACACAGATAAATCTTTGTAGCTCCAAACTGTAGATCCACCGTATAGTTTTGTACTTCTGGGAGTCTTTCTGGAATGAATCCAGCCCCTGGTGGTTCATTGATTAAGTGGCCAAGCTTGGTGCCTCTATTACCAACTTTGTCGAATTAAGATCATCACAATGACCACAGATAACACTCAGTCTTGGAAGATGTTCCACCGGCGATCCTCCTCGAAGAAAACCCCAGAAAAGATCTAAAATGGTGTTCCTGTTCGCCTGTTGTCAGTATTGTACTCAAAATAAAAATACGCTGCATGTGTACCTCATAGAGGCATGACGGCTTGTGCGCCCCAGCAACTCACTGAGCAGTGTAGATGTGACACTCACAGAGCATCTCATCTCAGTTTTGTCTATGGTTAGAATTCCACAAAGTTAGGGTTTGGACCTTCTCCCTAAGAATTAGGTTTAAGTATTTAGGCTCTTCAGAATGTCTGCACAGTCCACCACCAATACGGGAAGTCCCAAGTGTAAATAGGCTTTCGGGATAAAGGCCTTAATCTAAGACAATAAATGGCCTCCTTTCTATGTCCGAGTGTCTCGCTGTGTCGGCGGATACTACTGATGAAGCATGTGAAAAATCTGCTGTCTTTTCGAAGCTCTGCTCTGCGTCTAGTGGAAGGCAACCTTTGTTACGCAACTTGCGATGTTCACTAACAGTAGCATGATATTCAATGAGTGGGCATGAAACCTGAAGAAATCTTTTGAGAATGTTCGGATTCTAAAAACTATGCCCAAATGAGACTACTAATTTCTTCTCCAATAGCTTGTAGCTGCCTACTTAGTGCTTGGAAATAAATGATTTCGCGGTGTAGGGCTTTCCTCGTTTCTCTGGTACTATCAAATTCTGATTTCCAGCGTGGATTGCACACTTACAAATAATCACATATCACATCGACCGCTAGTGTTGTCGTCAAACCAGTAGCCTCATCTACTGTATACCCTAGAGCCAGTATGCAAAAACAGACTACGGCTGAGGCAATCATCCTTCTCTCTCATATACTCGGTATTCTCACTTTCCTCAGTCCGGTGAACGCGACATCTGCATAGGCGCATTCTTAATAAGTGAGGGATTCGTGCGCCTTCCATTGTCACCACTGCAATATCCGCGGTCAACTCGGCAACCACAGCGCTTGGAAGCTTTCAAATTATTTTTCAGTTTGCCTGTCGATCGTTAATGTCTCCGTCCTGAGGCCAGATTCACAGCATGCTTGTTCGCCGGACTCGCTTTCTGTTTCTCCGAAATAAGAATTTAGGATCACACTCCCAGATTGCTGACCTAAGATCTTCGTGGGTTGGTGCGCCGTCGGTGATCCGGAAGCCACTTGTGCACGTTCTACTGGGGTCTCTATTGTTCTAGGCCACCAAACATAAGAGTTTTTTTATCGAATGGGTTGTCCCTTTGATAGTAGCAATTTTACAACATATTGCAAATCCGCTCGTCCTCTTTACTTTTAGGGAGAATGAAGCTCTGAGGCTTTCAAAGATAGTTTTCACGGTTTTCTGGGTGTTTTGTTCTTCTTAGACAATAGCTCATATGTTGTTGTGGTTGCCAGAGGTACAAGCGCCGTCAACGTTCATTCGGGTCCGGACCGGAATCGAAATGCACGGACAACGGTGGACGATTCGCAATATGGCGTATGTTTACTAAAACCGACTTTGTGAACACGTATCAAACGCTTTTTCGTTGCTGATTTTCGCTGCACTTTTGATGAACTTAAAGATGAGCACGCCCCAGCCAACCAATGAATTGCCTTCGAAATCTAATGTTCAACAAGCCTACCGGCACCAGTATCGACGTCACTTTCGGATAAGCGAGTTTCAATGTCAACTTCTACCGGACAGTACTGTCCTCTAAATGCTGGGCACTTCTTTTGTGGACTGGTTTAACAAACCACATGCAAGTACTGGAAAACACTCTAAAGTTCTTGGAAGCTTGGATAGGTTTTTCTCCTGATAAAGAGTACAATATCCCTCAGCAAACAGTCAGACTTCTGGAAAAAAGAGCACCTGAATGGGTTGCGGAGCTTTGTGGGCTCAGAATGTAGGAGAGGTGGGATTAGCAGGAAAATCATAGAATGTGCTTCCCCTATGCCAGCTAATACCCGCAATATGCCCAAAGAGGCCTCCCATGATCCAAACAATCAGTGGTAAGCATGAGCAAATATTAAAAATAAACATTTTTATCGATTAGACGACTGGCAAACTGAAGTTTCTCAACTGGAGACCTGACACTGAGCGTATAAACTCTGAAGTCTTTCGAAATAATCGGTTGCATGTTCTTATCCAAGTGTTATCAAGCTGCGGGTCCTGACCAACACCGAATCACTCTGTTTAAACATGATGGTGAAATGGTGTGTCTTTTTTTGTCTAACTGATTTGCCTACGCTGGACTGGAATAAACTGTCTAAACTGGCTAAGTTTTTCAACTGGGCCCAAGGTGGGTGCAGCTATTACCGAGAAATTAGCTTGAATTTTGTTGTGAATTCAATGAATCCTGGTCTTCATTTTGTCGTTTCACAAATGAATTGAGAAACAGGGCCTGAGAACAGGAGCAGGATTGTGTGAACCACAGTTTCACATTTTGCCAGGTGTCATAAAAAGGATATGCGGTAATAATACGTTCGATGCTTTCTTTCGTTTCTACACTGGAAAATGAATCACGTTGGAACGAAACACGTTGGCAATATAATACTACCTATTAAATCTTAGGAATGGGTACAGACTCATCCAATATGTGCAACACGTTCCACATGATTCCTATATAATTCCATCAAAATAAGCCACGAGAGGAGGAACGAATTTGATCGAAGTGGTGTTCCATTTGTTTATTTCAAATGCACACTACTTGACCATACATAGTAGTATAGAATTATTTGCCCACTTTGCTCAACAATCTACGCCCTCTCGGAACAGCTATTCGGCGTAACAACTAATGTCGTTGTTACATCAGTGGTCTTTGTTAGAATTACTGAGACCTTGCTTGTTCATCCAGTCATTCTAGGCTACGGTACTGCGGTGAATCTACAAAGCAAGGTTAGATGATTAGTGGTGGCTTGAAGACAGTGGGAGATCTAGGAATTCTCTCATTTTTATGCAAGAACATATTAACATCCCATCTAATCACAGTCAGCGATTTCACCTAACATTACGCAAAATGAAACACTAATGAATGAAGATGTCGGTTTTTGTTAACGTGGATCACGGTGGGCACCTTGGTAAGATCCGTGTTCAACAGGTCTGGAGATTCGGCTACACTAGAAGCGACCTATCGGAGCACGACAAGGAAACACCCGAAAACACAAACAGGCCCCGAAATGGGTGTCCTCTAGTTGTGGCTTCCATCAACCACCTTTTTCGATGGAACATCACAGCCCTACAGAACCCTAGGTTAGACACACCTTTTTTAGGGGCCGTTAGTGCGAAATTCCACATTGAAAACCGATTCGTGTGGGTTCAGACAAGTGAAAAACCAGCTAAAACATACTTGATGTCGATAATTTCTCCACGTGTGCGAACCAGCGGCAAGGACGACCCAGTTGTTTGACGGATTATTGCTGAACATTGAGGACCAGTTGTGGACACCGGCGGCTCCCAACCATGCAACATGCTCGATGCAGAACAAGAACTCAATAAGTAGCCCACAACGACGCATCATATCCATAATTTCACGAAGCTTCATGTATTTGGGATTTTGTACCGTGCGCCCGGACTTTTATACTGTGCGCATCCTGTGAGTCAAACTTTGCTTCACCCATGTATGACGATGGTGTGGAAAAACTGTCCACCATGAATCTCATAGGTTTGTGGTACAAAGTCCACGCTAATCAGGCCATGAAGGGTCATTTTGATCATTTGCGCAAAGGTTTCATAAAAACGTGCGCACGTTGGTGATTTGTGGTGTTTTCTAGTACAAATGCCTATGCGCTTCCGAGAGTACTGAGCAGCAAACAGAATCTGCAAAAGTGTGTCAGGTAGCGGCTGGATTCATGGGTAATTTTACTGAAAACTTCGGTCCATGGGGACATTATTATTATTTTTTTATTAAAATCGTTTTGGAAATGTGCGTTCGGCAAGTTCTTGTCTGCAGTGGGTCAGCATGGGACTTGATTATCTAATCGGCCTCAAAGATGAGAATTTCTCAGAAGCTGAGTATTTAATCGCTGCATGAATCGATGGCTCTATAATGCTTCCGGTTTACTTAAGTGAATGACACCGAAGGTCACGCAAAGCCTTGAAGAAAGGAATTCAATATTCTCCATAGATTTATTTTACATGAAAATACAAGGATCGTGAAGAGAGATTCCATCGATCCCGTTTTAAACAAGAGGCAACGGCAAATATTTGAAAGCCATACAAACTAATGTTATTATACATGTTTTAATAATAATTCTCGCTTTGATGAAAATTCGCAACAAGAGAGCCTCATTGGCTGTTTGGCGTCTTGAATGTTTTCAAGAACCATTTAATTTTCACGACTTGGTGTAAAGCATAAACCCGTCAACCACCAGAAGGAATCCAGTTAAGTTTTCGCTGCCCTGGAAATGCTTTTGGTTGCCTACTATGACAAATTTTGTGTATGCAGCAGGAATACCAGAGATAAGCCCGACCCACATCACAAATATTCAGCGGGAAAGAAAACTCAGGAAATCGGGTCTACGAAAGTTCAGATTCCGGAACATTTTTTCCAGAATGCCCAAAGCCTACTGGGGCCCTCAAATTGCACCAAAATCCCAAAAGAGCAGAAATCCGAAAAGCAGTTCACTGACTAGACCTTGAAGCAATCGTTTACTCCTGCAAAGTCTGTCGTGATAAATGTCCCTTCAGCACCCATCCGAAGGCATTGATTCAAGGTCAAAAGTGAGTTTTAATTTTCGCACTCACTTTTTTGCAAAAGAGCCATCCTGTTCTCCGCTGTGAGCCCTTCTCCGATCCTCAAACACTGGAAGGAGGACGGCTCCTCACATATGAAACGTAATTAATCATGCGTTGAATAATGAAATACCGGCAATACGACTGAATGAAACCCTGGATGGATATATACTTTAGACTTGAATCGCCATAATCGCAAAAGTGAGCAAAAATGGTCAGTGCTCTCGTCGTAATCGAGTGAGAATTGAAAAGCAGTGGAGATTAGCTACTTATCCGCTCAATCATAACTAGCAGTCCAGAGTTAATTGGAACCCAATTCCTCTTTCTGAGACGCTCGCTGAAAACTACATTTGAAGAAAGTCATAACCATTTACAGACGTCCAATTTATGCTTCCGACTGCCAAAACGCGTGTGAAGCCGTGGAACTCCAGCTATTCAGTGGTTGTTTTAGCCACTGCTAAACGCCTCAACAATGCACCAGCAAGGTGGAGACTTTTTTCAAAATAATGATTTCCTTCACTCTCTCATTCCAGTATGTACTACGAAGTCGGGAAGCGCTTCCAACTATCGCATCTTGCGAATCTCCGCGAAGAGTGAAACCTGCAAAAGTTTGCTCGGCTAATAATATTTACGCCGATACCCGCCGTGTAGCTCTCAGCTTCATAAATTAGGACACCAGCAGCTGAAGACAAGTTAATTGGACAAGTTTCTGCTCCGTACACTTCCATTATGGAAACATGAGATTGATTATCGTAACTGCCGAAATTAGACCACAGCAAGAGCATTCTCGTCGATCTATGTTTGGTCAGTCTAATTACTCTTTTGACTGTGTAGTCCGCTGTAACTAATTGTGTTTTGAAACATACGAATACGACGAAAGTATTGTTATACCTCAAAATCAACTGCAGAAAATTAATCAATAGGTGTGACACAACTCGACGCTAATTGCCGTGAGATGTAATTAGAGTTTTAGCCCACAGCAACTTGTGATTCCCTTGCTGTTCATTTGGCTTCTCTTGGTGTGCCGGATATTATGTTGGAACACATCGGTCAGGAATTAAACTTATTTCAGTATATACTCAGCCAACACCCTAACCTAACCGTCAATCTGACAGGTTCGGTTACACACAAGATTTGGCGATCGTTTGGGGCAGGTTATCTTCACCAGCTGGTAGCACTTTTCAACTGCACCTTGTTTTTGGAGAAGTGTCGAAGTGAAATAAATATAACGATACCGTTATATCAAACTGGTGTTCCCAATCACGTTCCTGGTAATAAAATGAACATACCGACAAGGGATATCAGCGGATTTATTCCAAACAAGCGAGTGCGCTGCATTCTAAAAGTTACAATTGTCCCGCGATATTCGAAGGACACTTTCTGGCATTGACCCAGGTTGCCTGATGGCTGTTTGGTGAACACCCATCAACATTGATCGCGCTTCTGAGAGATGCTTGAGCGCTGATAACATTCTGTCGTGTTTGGTATGCATGAACCATCACCCACTGTTTATGAATTGGATAAATGATTGACTGGCCTGGATGATTTCCGGCTTTCCTGCTCAGATTTTGGTGAAGTGTAATGATCTCAGTTGGTTTCGGGAATCGTAGGGATATTTTCAGGGATCTGACCTTCGTGATGGGTACAAATACTCTCATTTGCAGATTGGTTTCGTTCTAACAGGGAAGTCAACTGAACCCAGATAAACATCTCGTGTATGCCGGTCTCTTTTAACTGGACGGCGAGTTGAAATACATTTCAGAGTTTTGTCGAATGTTGGGTTGGTTCAGTCCTCTGGGTGCTGTTGCTTATGCCCTCCTGTCTAGGATGGGGCAGTATCTCAACCCTCATATGCATGGCACGGTACATATTCAAATGATTGCCTTATATTTATTATTTTTGTTACACATGAACTTCCGCAGTTATGTCGAATCGCGCGAAAATTATGGAGACGTTATTTTCAGGTGGACGAGCCAACTGTACTGGCTAGAGCAATTTGCCCTGTCGTACTGAATGTCTATCGATACTGACAACCTTTGTGGCCATGGGATTCTAACACTGACAATAGGAGAGTTAGCTATTCATAATGAACTCGAAATTCCGGAGAAATGTTTAACTTTTTACCAGAAACTTAGAAATTCGTAGACAAATGCCAGTGACAATGTGGAGAACAATTGATATTGTTTAGTGAAGCCGAGGGAGAGAATTTGGTGGCTTGTAGAGCTGTATATTTGCTAATATCGTGCAACGCTGTTTCACGTAGAACATAAGGTTGATATTCTGAAGCCCTCAAAAGAACATTTTCATGGCCACCTTCTTAGTACAGTTGCGGAAATTTCAAAGGTGTGTTTTAAATGTTCTGTTGGATTATATTTAAGGAAACCCTCCACTGGATAAGTCTGTTTATCGTTCCCGAATTTGTCTAATAAACAACCAGTTTAAAGTGACGATATCGCAGGAGGAGGTTTCAATTACCTGTTGAAACTCCTCTTTCTCTGATCTACTTATTAGCCGTTAATAGTATGGGAAAAATTAGAGACATTCGATGATTGATTTTATTTAATCGCTCACTCCACTTTGTACTGCCAAGCCGGAGAGGGTTTCCAAACCACCGCATTCCTTGAATTTTCAGGAAGAGTGAAACCTGGAAATTTTCGGAGAACAAAAATTGTGCTTGGCTGATAATAGTTATGTCAATGCCCGTCATGTGAATCAGAGTCCTATGAATTAGGGCGTCAGAAGCTGGAAATTATTTAATTGACAAATGTTCCAAGCCTCCTATACTTTCATGATTGAACCTTGAGAATCACGATGAAGTAAGGGTCTTTTTTCGATCTTCATGTGATCAGTCCTTTATGCTTTTGGCCGCGTAATTCAAAAAAGAATAAAACACGGTAGAGGTATACCATCAAATTAACATCAGAAATGTGAACAAAAAATATGAGATAACTAAACGCTATATGCCGTAAGATAAAATTACAGTTTTAAGCACAGCAACAGATGTGATTCCCCTGCTATTCACCTGGAACCTTTTGGTGTGACCAATCATCTCTTGACGATAAACGGTCAGGATGAATATTTAATTCAGTCTTTACTTGGTGTCTTTTGGTTAAACATCGTTGGCACCAGCGTCACCTTCCTGCAAATGAACAAATAACCGATTGTCCATGACCCCTTTCGAGGAGCCCTATTCAACAGGAGCACCCTTCCAACGGAACTCATCGCTTGTGCGTCGTCCACTTTGAAAACGCCCAAGCTAGGACTCGGAGGAGTAAGGAACAACAACAGTGCAACCGTTATGGATACTCTGCCAAGTGTCTGCCAACAGGTTTGCTCAGCCAGACATTTAGGTATCAAACGTTTCACTGTCACTAGCATAGGAAGCATCATCACCGCAAAACGGCAATGTTTATTGTAACCTTGGAAATCCAACTGTTAAGATTCACGAGCACATCTGCAGCCAGTTGATTAATAAACCGTGCCGGCACCCAAGTTGGCACAGCGCTTGGATCGGTCAAATAAAACGCGTTCGGCAGTTTATTTGTAACGACATATGTTCTCGGTCCGATTGCTTATAAAAGTTAAATTTGCGGAGTGCCAATCACCCAAGTTCAACCATCTGATTCTCACAGCATTATAGTTTGACATAATCTACCGAAATTCAAAGTGCTGAGATGGGAGTACATGGGAGAACATAATAATAATAATAACAATAGTGATATATCAGCCACTGCACCGTTTCGGTATGCAGCCGCCATATTGCCCGAGGGAAGCACAAGTTTCGACGAATCGCCGAGGTACCCAAAGCTA